CTCCCTGGTGATGTGAGTAGCAGACAATTCATCCTTGTTTCATGTCTAGTATCCTGCTATGAGTGAGTACATACCATGTTTGTCTTTCTGAGTCTGGGTTACCTCACTCAGGATGATTTTTTCTAGATCCATCCATTTGTCTGCAAACCTCATGATGCCATTGTTTTTTTCTGCTGAGTAGTATTCCATTGTGTATATGTACCACATTTTGTTTATCCATTCTTCAGTTGAAGGGCATCTGGGTTGTTTCCATGTTCTGGCTATTACAAACAATGCTGATATGAACATAGCTGAACAAGTGCTCTTATGGTGTGGTTGAGCATTTCTTGGGTATATGCCCAAGAGTGGTATAGCTGGATCTTGGGGGAGATTGATTCCCAATTTTCTAAGAAAGCGCCATATTGATTTCCAAAGTGGTTGTACAAGCTTGCATTCCCACCAGCAGTGGAGGAGAGTGGGTCCACACTGGATCAGGCCCTCCGAATGGGTGAGACAGTTGATTGGCTTGATCTGTTTGGGAGGCATCCAGGCAGTGGGACCAGATCTTGTGCTCATTGCATGAGTTGGCTGTTTGAAACCTGGGGCCTATGCAGGATTGTTTGGCTCGGCCTGGGAGGAGGGGACTAGACCTACCTGGACTGAGTCTGCCAGGTTGACCTCAGTCTGTGGGGAAGGCTTTGCCCTGGAGGAGATGGGAATGGGGGGGGATGCGTTGTGGGGAAGGTGAGGGGGACGGGAGGGGGGAGAACAAGGGAATCCGTGACCGATATGTAGAACTGAATTGTATTGCAAAATAAATTAAAATAAATTAAAAAAAATTCTTTCTCTACTTTGTTTTTATATTTCTTGATCTTTTACTCATTTTCTTATTGAAGGTTTAGCAGAGCAACAAAAGGCCCGATATGATTCATCTCTAGAGAACCTCTTCCTCCATTTCAGAAAAGATGAGATGAAAGAGTAAGTATCCAAGTAACCCCATCCTGAGGAATGAGGTTGCTAACCCCAGCAATGTTACACATTTAGAACATTTGATATTTTAAAATTGTTTGCAGAGACTATGTTCACATCCCCTGTCACACATTAGAGAGCAAAGTAATGTCATGCAATGTGATCAGTGTGAAAATTAATTTAGCAAGTAAGAGCATGGAACTGACTACAAAATTCAATTAATCAGCACTTTATCATCCTGTCTCCTCACACTTTCTGAAATGCCAAGCAAAAAAACAAGATTCTTTATTCATGACATAACCACAAACAGAAATAATCACAACTCTACTACACATGCAATGCCAATACTTAATATTTCCAGGTAGGTTCTTTCATTTTTCTGAATATATGTTATTATTTCTAAGTGGTGTCCTATTTTACAATCTGGTTTTCTTATCCTTTCCTGATCTTGTGAGATTTTCCACAGTGGCATTTCAAATTACTTCAGAGACTTGCACCATAGGCATCGTAGATTATTAATAAGCATCTTCTCCTGTTGATATTTTGATTTTTATAATTTTACTCCAGTGTATTAAAAGCTATGACAAATATCCACCTCGGTATTTTATACACAGTTTATCAAAACAAATTTCTAGAGCAATATCCCTGGTCAAAGTGTATGAGTTTATTCACGTCTCTCATTGCAAAAGCAATTACACATGGTTTGGATATTTGGGAATATACCTGTCCCTCAAACTTGAATGCCACCAGCAGTTACCATTCATATATTACAGACAGTTTGCACCCAGGAAATTTTTTCCCCCATTTGGTTTGTGTATTTATTTGAACACTAATGAAATCGGATTTTTATATAATTGTTTGCCTTTAAATTTCTTAAATGTCTTCATTTTTTTTCTATTGGGAAATATTTTTGCTGAATTATAAACCTTCACTTGTTATTAAGTTGCTTAATATGTTATTCACTCAAAGAACTTTTGTATTCTTTGCTTTGCTGAAGTAAATCAGTTCTGCCCACCTCATATGTGATCTGCTAGAGCACATGGAGGGTCTGGTCCTGCAGACCCAAAGCTGCAGGATCTCCATGACACAGGGAAACAACAGGATAACCAAGAGGAATTCCAGTGAGGTCCCAGCATTTATAGTGTAGCAGAAACTGGAAACCTCATACCAGGCCAGTGACTCTTTGCAATGAACACTCACAATGAAGATGTAAGGATAAAAGGATTTACTGCATGGCTCACTGTGTCACACCACAGATTTCATGACAAGATTGATTTTTCCTTTTTTTCTTTGTTTTGTTTTTCTCTTCCTCTCTTTTTTTCTCTTAAATTTTATTTTGGGTAGGCGATTGCAAGGGCAGAGGGAAGATACAAAGTGACAGGAAATGAATGGGATGGAGATGCATGATGTGAAAGACAAAGAATAGAGAAAAAGAAAGTTAAATCACACAAATGGACATTCAATCATCAACCATTGGATGAAGTGTCAAGGATTTTATGTTGAATATAAAAGTCACTAGAAACCAGGGCCTTTCTTAAATGCATTATGTATTAGTTTAATATGGAGTGAGAAACCATACTATTATCAAATATGGATATAAAATTATACAAAATATTCTAAATTCTTCATCCTAGGGCTTCCTACTTGTCTGATTCATGAATATTTGACAGCAATGTTAATTAATAAAACTATCAAATATTTCTAAAGCATCAAAACAATAGCATTCATTAAATACCTTTATAGTCATGGTCACATCTTTTGAAATATACCTATATGCATATACAATTAATAATCATGATATAATCTCTTTTGAGGAATGTTGGGGATGGTTCGTAAGTATACAAGACATTGTGGGATTTAGCAATACTCAGTCATTCTGAAAGAGCAAGCTATGAATTTCACAGTCAAGGGAAGGATGTAGCATGATGTACAAAGAGAATACAGAATATTTGTTGATCATACTAGTTAAGTGTGTGTTGGTCCAGAAGTTCTCTATTGTATTTCATTTCAGAATGTTCATCATTGTGGATATAAAAATAGTGACCTAATTTATGGATCTTGTTACTTCAGTCAATCAGCCATTTCCATTTTGGGTATTTTCTGTCTTTTTACATTGATAGATAAATCATAATAATAAAAGTGATGTGGGACTTTCTCTCATTATACGTACCCTTGGAGATTTTATATATATATATATATATATATATATATATATATATATATATATACACACACACACACATATACATGTATATATGAATATGTATATATGTATATATACACACACATACACACACACACACACACACACACACACACACACACACACACACACATATATATATATATATATATATAAATATGAAAGTGATTTTTGGTCTCTTAGAAAGATTAAATGCAATTTGTATTTATTTGCATCAGTGACACAGTTCTTTTATATTTGAAGAAATTTTATCCTGCATTTTGACCACATTTTCATTTCAGCCATTTTCTCACTGTTATATTTCCAATCCCATGGCTTTTAAGAATTAATAATTTGGGTCTTAAAATATGTACAATTATTCTGAAATATATTTCCCTAGCCATTAATGAAATATCTTCTGAATCTTCTTTATTTAGAATGAGGACATTTGCATACTTTTATTTCTCCTACTTCTGCCAAATTATATAAATTTTGGATTTAAGTGTGTACAGTTATTTTACTTTTGTAGATTGTATTATTACATTAATTATGTGTATCTTTTAATATGGATGTAGTTTTACATTTAGTAAGCTTCATTATGCCTGTCATATTTTGCACTTCATAACTTTTGCATTAATCAGTTAATTTTAATGCATATTACACATGTGATTATACAAAACATTATTTTACATTATACTTTAATAGTCTGGAGTTATATATTGGAATTAAACATCTAGAAATTTAGAGTCTATTTAGGAGATATTTTGATTACATTTAATAATATATATTTTCCTGCTCCTGTAAATCTCAGAAAGTCTTCCTATTTTTCTAAAATACAAGTTACTATAGCTGAGTATAGATTTTAAAATACTTTTTCTTTTAACTCCTCATACCATTCTATTGTTTCTTTATATTTTAAAAAATGAAATTGGAATAAAAACTGAAAATGTTTTACATACACGTATTTTCTAATTTTTTATGTACAAATTCTCTTTTTTCATCACCAAATAATTTTCACATATAATTCAATTCTGCTCCTGAATGTTTGGGTTTTTTTCATCAATTCATATCTCAGGTAGCAGTACTCTAACTTCAACACAATTTTGTGTAATTCCTTGTTGTGCAAATTTTTGTGCAAGACAAAAAGCTTTGGTTGACAATGGGAAATTTAGAAAAAAATATTCAGGAAGGGATAAATATATGAAAAGTGTGTAGTATGAAAGGTGGGGTTAAAGATTTTTTGCCTAGTTTGATACAGAGTACAAATAATGGATGTAAAGTGAATGTCTCATTAAAATTAGCGTGGTCATAATGTAGAGCATGATAAAGCTGTGAAAAGAACATAGTATTAGCACAAAGAATTGAAAGAACAACTGACAAAATTTTTCAGATATGATATGTAAGCCAGGTGCAATAAAGTACATTATCATTGCATACAGAAATTGAAACAATTAAGATAAACAGCAGTAATAAAAGGTAAGAGTGATTGATGATAGCTCTGATACATAATAATGACAGGAATAAGAAAGGTGCCTTCACATTATTGTGTATCTTTATTTTGGTAGTGATTGAATTTTATTGCAAAACATAACTAGGATCTATACTTACTGTCTACGATTTATTTGGATAAGAATGTATACTAAAAACATGAACACTGCATCTATTCATCTAATTTTAAGTACACCAACATACTTTTTAGGAGATATATACAAAATGTACTTTTTCTTTTACATACACACAACTTGACCAGAATCACCTACAAGCTTTGGTCTTGGAGATTTGTCCATAGATAAGCATTCATGGAGATTTCTAAGAAAAAAAATTCAGACTTATTTCTGTGAATTCATTTCTTGTTCTTCTCACACAAGACATGCTGTCTGGGAAACCTGTCCTCAACCAGTCTGGGCCCCCTGAGTTCGTGTTCCGTGTGTTCACCAATGTCCCTGAATTCCAGGCTCTCCTCTTCACACTCTTCCTCCTGCTCTATCTAATGATCCTCTGTGGAAACACTGCCATCATCTGGGTGGTGTGCACACACAGCTCCCTGCGCACACCCATGTATTTCTTCCTGGGCAGTCTGTCCCTCCTGGAAATCTGCTACACCACAGACGTGGTGCCCTTGATGCTTTCCAACATCGTGGGAATACAGAAGCCTATATCACTGGCTGGTTGTGGCACACAGATGTTCTTCTTCCTCACTCTAGGCGGCACTGACTGCTTTCTTTTGGCAATCATGGCTTATGACCGGTATGTGGCCATCTGCCATCCTCTGCACTATAGCCTCATCATGACCCGGAAGTTGTGCCTCCAGATGGTACTAGGCTCCTTAAACTTGGCTCTATTCCTTTCCCTGCAGCTCACCGCCTTAATTTTCACCTTGCCCTTCTGTGGACATCACAGGGAAATCAACCACTTCCTCTGTGATGTGCCCCCAGTCCTGCGCCTGGCCTGTGCTGACATCCATGTGCACCAGGCAGTACTTTATGTTGTGGGCATCCTGGTGCTAACAGTCCCGTTCTTGCTTATCTTCATTTCTTATGTGTTCATTGCTTCCACCATACTGCGCATGCGCTCTGCAGAGGGCCGCCAGAGGGCCTTTTCCACCTGTTCCTCCCACCTCACTGTTGTCTTGCTACAGTATGGTGGCTGTAGCCTGGTGTACCTGAGACCCCGCTCCAGCACCTCAGATGATGAGGACCGCCAAATCGCCCTGGTTTACACATTTGTAACTCCATTACTCAACCCTCTAATTTACACTCTTAGGAACAAGGATGTCAAAGGTGCCCTGAGAAACTCCATCTTCCGTAAAGCTGCTTCTCATTGGAGCTAACAGCTTCTGACTGTAGCAAGGGATTTGGGTACGTGTCTGTGAATAAAACCAATCAACTGAAAATGTCAAACAATTATATTATTTAGTTTACTAAATGTCTCATTTTATTTTCATTTTACTGTGAATGTTGCTGATAGCTATATTTATTTTCTTGAACTTATTGAATACTTTTAAAATTTGGAGTAAGGAAAGAAAAATGAGAAATATTATAATTACATAATCTCCAAAAAAATAAATAAATAAAACCCAGAAAATGATAGCTATGAGAACAGACAGAGAATGCTCAATAGATTTGGAATGTTTACCTCTGGACTTACTTGTATAAATAAAAGAAAAATAATAAGTTGCATTATTTTAAAAAAAAGATTCTCAGTTCACCCATGACAGTGGCTTTCTTGGAAACCTCACATGCATGCTGCATTTGAATAACGGCTGCTGTCTGCTTACATGTAGCCTCCTGAGGAGGAAGAGATGATCCACAAAAGGGGGTTACTTGCAATTTTGAAGGATGAATATTTTCCAAAATAAATCTCTTTCTCTGTGTTTAATGCTGTGGAATAACCCTTTTGTACAGGGTGAAGATTTGTCTCTGTGATTGGTTTAATAAACAAGCTGACTGGCCAGTAACTGAGCAGAATAAGGTTAGACAGGAAAGCCAAACAGAGAATGCTGGGAAGGAGAAGGGTGGAGTGAGAGAGTTGCCAGCCAAATGGAGAACGAGTTGGACATGCAAAATGGAATAGAGGTAAAAGCCACAATCCTCAGGGCTTTACATAGATTAATAGACATAGGTTATGTTGTAAGAGCTAGTTAGTAACAAGCCTGAGCTATTGGCTGAGCATTTATAATTTATATTAAGTCTCCAAGTCAGTTATTTGGGAAGTGGCTGCTGGTTTTTTGGGAGCAGGCTGTCAAAACAGGAAAACTCTGCCTACAGTTTGATGTGAAGGTATAATCAGCAATTGATTTTTTAATTTGTGGAATGTTTCCTTCATGTCAGATGTTTCCACTGGTGGATTCATTTTCTTCTGCTGGTAAGGAAATAGGAATTAGCTTCCATTGGCCAAGCACCTATAGACAACTAGGTTAGTGAACTAAGACCTAATCCTGTGGCTGCCAGCATAAATCCACTGTACTGGAAATTCTGGCATTAAAGTTTGCTTTCACCCTCATCTCTACTTCCTCTCTTTCTTGATGACTCTTAGTCCTGGATGCACTCAGATGTTCTTCTTACCACTTCTGGTCTTTGTGTCTATGAATCCCTGGTGTATAGCAAAAATACCCTAACCAATAGCCTTGAAGCAAGAGATCCAATTTAATCCAGCATTGTTACAATGAAAGACAGAAAGCCATAGAATTAAATTTTAACCACATACTTCATATAATAGAATGTTGTAATGACATAACAAAATTCTATGAGGTGGAATGGAGAAGTAACATTCTGTGGGTTGAGGAATTATCCCTGTGGATCATTTGAGCAGGTCCCTGTCAGGCAAGGAAATGATACTTGAAGAGGTGAGAATGAAAATTCAGTTCAGGTTGACTTAGTCACCCTGCATCAGACTTCTAAAGAGTCTTCTGCTAGGCAGTTTATTGACAGAATATTTAAACACAGTACAATCTGATTTTTTTTGCTGTAATATTAGTTTTACTTGTTATACAAGACATTTTAGACAACTCTATTTGTATTCCCATAATTATTTATGGAATAGGCAATAAAAAAGAAATGGTTGCAACCATTACAGGATTCGATAGATGCGAAAAAATCATAACTTTCAGGGATACCTCCCTTAATTCTATTGATTAGTTGCAAATATTTACTGAGCAAAATGGTTGTAATATGGTCTATCTCATGTAAACTTTTATAAATAATCCATAGCATAGCAATTCAATATCATACTGTCTTCTATCACAAGTGTGCCTTTTATCCCTTGGTTGAAAGCACTTGTATCCTGAATTAACAAGCTGATAAGTAGCATGTAATACAGTCAGTAAACAACAGCATCATTTTTGAGTCAATACTATAGTGTCTGGTTGTTTTCTGAAAGTCTCAACTTGATGAGCTAGAGTCCTGTATGGTGATTTATTATTTGTGCTCCAATAAATAAAGTTTACTTGAAGGTCAAAGGAAAAAGCCATCCACTACATTAAACATAGAAGTCAGGCAATGGTAACACACACCATTAATCCTAGCATTTGGGAGGCAGAGATTCACCCAGATCTCTGTGAGTCCAAGTCCACACTGGGAACAGAGCCAGACTTGGTGGTACATACCTTTAAATTCCAACAGTAGTTAACCATAAAGGTCTGGAGGTCTGTACAGACACACAGGAAGAGACAGAGCTGGGCAGAAAGAGGAAGTGGTATAGCTGAGCAAAAAGAGGAAGTGAGATGGCAGGGCATGGAAAGGATGTAGGCATGGGTGTACAGGAAATAGCTCTCTTTGCAGAGGATTTCTAGTGGTAAGAACATGGCTGGCTTCTTTTTACTTCCCCAGTTTCTCAGTTTTTACCCCAATATCTGTCTCTGAGGTTTTTAAAAAAATTTATAATAACCTTACATCTGGTGCCCAGTGTTTCTTCAAGGAACAATGGCAGCAGAAAGCCTCTCCCTTCTGGGTTATGCAGAAGGTGTGATAAAGGCAAACATTGGACTAATGAATATAGAACAACAAGGGACAGACAAGGTAATCTTTTGTCTTTGCATAGGGAAACTCCCTGAGGGGCCTCACACAAGCCCCAATGGCAAATTCAGTTCAGTCCTTTCTTGCCAACATAGAAGAAATTCCTTCCCAGAGCAATTAAATAACAAAATGCTTATTGTAAAACACCATACTGTTCAGTGTGATAGAACAGCTATAGAAGAAAGAACAAAAAATTTCAGGAAAAACCAAAAAAATGAATTTTTTGACAAACTTCTATAAATGAACAAAGACCAAAATTAAAAATACAAGTAAATGACGTTCTCATTGAAGGTCTTGTAGATATAGGTGTGGACATAACAATAATTACACCAGAATCTTGGCATCCAAACTGGCCTCTTCAGGAGGTAAATATTTAGCTCTTAGGGATTGGAACACTATCTCAAGTGAAACAGAGATCAAGATGGCTCAACTATATAGGGCCAGAAGGACAGAGAGGAAAATTAAAGCTGTTTGTGGCTAATATAGCTATGAATTTATGGGGCCATGATTTATTACAACAATGGAATGCCCAAATTAACATTCCTCTAACCTCAGAAACAAACCATAAGCTAACATATGTTTCTGAGAAAAATATTATAAGGAACTATAAAGAACAGTAACCAACTTCCAGATTGTATGAGAACAGGGCACAACAGATGCTGATCTTTCAAAGACACCAACAGCTCTACCTTTAAAATGGTTAACAGACAAGCCTCTATGGGTTCAGCAATGGCCTTTAACAACACAGAAACTACAGGCCTTAGAACAGCTAGTACAATAGCATTTAAATGCTCATCATATTGAAGAATCAATCAGCCCTTGAAATTCTCCTGCATTTGTTATTAAAAAGAAATCTGGTAAATGGAGAATGATAACAGACTGAAGAGCAATTAACAAGGTAATTCAGCCAAGGAGCTCTCTACAATCTGTAATTCCTTTGTCTACTCTGTTACCTATAAGAGGATGGCCTCTTATATTTACCAATTTGAAAGACAGTTTCTTCCCAATATTCTTACAAGAAAAGGACAGAGAGAGGTTTGCCTTCACAGTGCCTACTTAAAATAATTTTCAGCTAGTTAAGAGATATCAATGGAGGGTTCTCCCACAGGGAATATTAAATAGCCCAACCATGTGCCAATATTTTGTACTCTAGCCATTGCAAGTAATATGTAAACAACTTCCTAAATCTATAATTTATCATTACATGGATGATAATTTACTAGCTGATTCAAATGCAGATACCTTAGAATGTTTGAAGAAGTAAATGAAATTTTGCCTTACAAAGATGAGAGTCTATTAATTATTTAAGATATAAAATAGGTCTACAAAAATTAAACACCAAAAGGTGCAAATTAGGAGAGATTGATTACGAACTCATAATGTCTTTCAAAGATTATTCAGAGACACTTCCTATCTACAGACTGCTGTTGGGGTAAAAAACGATGGACTGAGTAATTTATTGAAAACCTTAGAGGGTGACAATGACTTAACTAGTCCAAGAGAATTGTCAGCTGAAGCTGAGAGAGTATTGGCTTTGGCAGAAAAGAAAATACAGAATGTACATGTGGATCATGTGGATCCAAAGCTTGATTGCATTCTGGTTATTTTACCCTCTAAACATTCTCCTACAGGAATTTTAATGCAGAGGGAAGATACTATATTGGAATGGATATTTCTACCAAATAAACAGAGTGAAAAATTTAAAACTTATGTGGAAAAGATCTCTGAGTTGATTTTAAAAGGAAAATTGAGACTTTGTCTCTCGATTTTTACCCCAATATCTAGTTCTGTTTTTTTTTTTTTATTAATGAGACTGTTTAGCAATTTTTCTTACAGTCCTGATTTCTCCCCAAGTTATCAGCTTACTCTTACTCTTGAGACATCTCATTTTAATCAATTTGTCATTTGTGTATAGATGTTTCATTGGTCTGGTGGTGTCTGGATGTCCTGGTTGGATGTATCAGATCAGGAGCTATCTAAGGCTTCATTTTTCTGGAAATACACAAGCATAACTTTGCCTCAGTGATAAAACTTCAGGTTCTTTCTTTTTCTTTAGTGTTTACTTAGGTTTTGTATCCTTTAAGACAAATGCTTTTGGGCAACAGAAAAATAATATTCCCTTAAGGTAAAATGCTTTGAAAATATTTAAAGTTGGCATAACTAAAGGTAGCATAGTATGTGAGGGTATAGGTGGGTATATATGATAACCCCTTTTTAATTTTTAAGTTTTTAAAGTATTTGGTGATATTACATAATAGCTTTATCCTGCAGATAGTAAAGGATTTTAGTGACATGATTAATACTAAAATTCCTGCAA